CTCGGGCGGGAGTAGTACCGGGATGGGTGACCCCCTGGGAAGTCCTCGTGCCGAGTGGCCCAAAGCGGATAATATTGTGATACGTGCCAGAGGGGGTGTTACAAATGGTATCAGAGCTAGGGCACGGGTCGATGTGTTCGACAGGGACGTCGAACCCTATAATGGGGGGTGAAGGTGGGTTGCACCTGATCCCACATTGGCTGGGAAGGAGAACTAAGCATTCCTTATAAGGGGTGTGGATACCTTCCCTATCACAACGCGTTTTAAAGCCGTGAGGGCAGCAGATCCCATAAGAACTCTGCAGTTAAGCGTGCTCGGGCGGGAGTAGTACCAGGATGGGTGACCCCCTGGGAAGTCCTCGTGCCGAGTGGCCCAAAGCGGACAATATTGTGATACGTGCCAGATGGGGGTGTTACACATATATATCATAAAATCGGATTTATATTGATCTAACATGATAAGGTAACTATCCAAATGCAAAAACAGCAAGAAATCCCGAGATAAGCATTATCTGACGCTCGAACTCGCCGAGTACTACACTGTACTCGCCGAGTTGAGGGGTACTCGCCGAGTTCCTCAGCCATAAAGCCCAAAAAACGATTTTCCAGTTATACAATGCATCAATACAATTGAAACCAAGCTAGTCTCTGATACCACTTATGGGTTTTGGTCATAAGACATCCTATGTGCTCATACAAACCCTAATGCTTGGATCTAGGTTTCTCTATTGTACATGCTTTGAATCCAAGACTATAAACCCTAATTCTAGCATTCAAGTAATCATATTAATATGAGAATAAGTTTATAGTGTTACCTTGATTGTTATGTAGCAATAACAATCCCAAATCTCCTTGTATTAACTTTGGAAGGCTTAGAGTCACAAGTGTCACTCCTCTAATGGCTCACAAACACCATAAGCAAGAGGATGAAGAGGAGAGAGGTTGGAGGCTGCCAAAAACGTGTGTAAACCCTTACAAGAACATTAGCCACGTTTTTGAGCCTTAAGGGGTCTTTATATAGTTGGGCTATTAGGGTTATCTAACAAGGAAACCCTAATTTGGATGCTTAAGCCCTAAGCAACCCATAGACTCCTTTAATTAAGCCCATGGACGATTTCCTTATGGGTTTCCCATTAGAATTCGTCCATCCCTTAATATAAGGCAATCCATGGCCCAAATTGCAATTATCCTATAATTACAATTCCAGTCCCTTAAGTTTAATTAATCTCTTTTAGTCACAAAACTAATTACCAATTAATTATTGACTAATATTAATTAAACAATATGATTTCTCCTTTAATATATTATTCCCATAATATATTAGTAAATCATATTTAATCCTTACTCTCCATAATCCATCCTATCAAGTTGCTTTGGTGAAGGCAACCCAAAAGGACCATGCACCATCGGGTCAAGTACATACCAAAATAGTTATGGACTTAGACACTAATCCAACACTTTCAAGTTTAATGTCATTCGCTTCATTAAGTGCATCAAACTCTTGGCGAAAATATTATCTGCCTTTATCCGGATATATAGTTTAATATGTATTTCTAGTTTATTTCTGAAATTTAACCTTATACAATTTAAGTCATGAAAACTTCACTCATGTTTGAATTTGCTACCAGGTTGGTAACCTCTACAACAACGTTTGCAGCCAATCCAGAAATTTGATCCTTGTAATCTCGAGCATAATCCAGTCTCTCTATAGACGTAACATTGTTGGAACCTCTTCAGGTTTAAAGTAATGTTCATATATTGATTATGCTTTAATCTATTGAACTCTTTTTTATTGGGTGCCAAACCTCTTTTGTTCTTGAACTTTTTCTTCCTTTTGCAGCTAGAACCCCTACCAGACACAAGGTGCACACTTGCTATGAGTTTACTTTGTTTTTATAAATTTTATGTGGATTCAGAGGTGCTTTAATATATCATCCAAGGAGTAGTCATCAGACTTATACATTATCCTCTCATATATGAGTCATTCCAAGAGTGTGGAAACTTTACGACAATTGCACCTATCTAGATGAGGCCAATAAAGCAATTGATAGTAGAATCATTTTGTTAACTAAGACCTAGAGTTCATTCACCCGATCCAAGTACTTGGACACAAGGTACTTGTTAATACCTCCAGGGATCGAAATGTAGTTAGTGAGAATTTGAAACTCTTTTAGTCTGTAAGGTTGTGAAATCAGAATGACTTCGGCACTATATGTATTTGTAAGGCACATGTCGTATTCAGACTAGACATTTAGTCCTTGTACATTTTGTTGTCTGTAACACCCTATAAATAGGGTAAGTATTAGGGTCGAGAGCAACTTTTGTGCTCTCAAGTTTGTAAAACACTCTCAACTTTTGTACTATTTAACAGACATAATATAACCTAATCAGATCTTATTTACTCGACATGTTCTTTCATATTCATTACTCGATTCTAATACAAATCAGTACCTTCCTCATTTGCCTATTACTTAAGATCCAAGACTTTCTAGAGCTCTTAAGGATCTGTGACCAATGCTTACACATCATAGAGGCAGTTATATATGGAGTTCTTGATGTGGTGAAGACATAGGCCTTCAGACAATCCATATAGAGATAGATCTCAACTTTTCCTGATCAAAAATTGCTTTTAGATTTGGATGCTTTCCTGTTTTGGGGACATGTTCAAATGGAATATGGGGCAAGGCGGGGTCTAGAACAAGTTCAAGATTAAGCATAAATAGTAGAAAATTGACCTTGTTATCCCAGTAGGAGTATTTATGGCCATCATAATGGTCCACTTTGATAAAACTTCTAAATCATTGGACTGCAATTGGTGGAAAAGACTTCAGTGTCTGTTTATTTGAAATATTTAACCATAAAAAAATTTATAAGATTTTTATATTCAAACTTAATAGGAAACAATATGATGGTTAGTATAATGAAGTAATTTTGAATTGTTAGTAATTACCAAAGAAAAGAAACTGAAAAATAATATGGAGAATTATATGTCAATTAGTCATAACTAATAAATTTAGTATTAGTATTTGGTTACTTTATTCGATCCAAGAAATCAGATTTATCATTTTCAATTTGATTTTGATTATCCGAAAGATAGAAGGAGAATGTCCCGTTATCAGACAAAATAAAAAGACGAAACAAAAATTAAAACCAACCTAAAAGATGTTAATTCTTGACTATAACTAAATGGAATAACTTTTGTCGATAAAGGTTTTTATGTGCTGCAATGTAGAATCCTAGGGTTTTCAATGCATTTATCATTCGTTCTAACATCAAGATGAACCAGTAAACAAAAAGCAAATACTTGAAAACCGGAAGAAATTTTATGTTATTAATGGAGAGATGAGAGAACATATAGAGATAATGGTTTTAGGTGTGGAAGAAATGAGACCCTAGAAGTCCTATTTATACTAGTCCGGAAATCATAGAATCCCAAGAATCGAATTTGATGATGACACGTTGCCTCTTATAGGTTGTCACATGACAATTGAAATACATGATAAACTACAAGTCGACGTCATTATATAGAATCTCAATCTAATCCAATTCAAACTTGGAGTTTATAAGGTTTCCAAAGACTTCTGAAATATTTCTTATACTTATCCATGAAGTTAACACGTAGTTTACACGTTGACTGGGTTGGTCCAACCCGATCCAACCTAAACACTACTAAAAACAAAATCTCTTCAGTAGTGTGCAAAGTGTGCCCATATAACAAACCTTGTTTCTCACATTCTTATCCTGGCTAGGCATGTATGTGGCTTTGGCCTAACCCTTTAACTTTCACTAAAGCCTATAAAGGCTTAAGGCAATGGAAGCATTATAAACAATCATTAACCAACAAATACAAACAGAACGAACGTAAACAAACATAAAATAACGTTAAGAAACTAAAGTAAACGAACATTATGAGCATAAATAATAGAAAGAAACAATGTGTTCTAACAAGGGGTAATCATACACACACACACGCACACACACACACACACACACACACACACACACATATATATATATATATATATATATATATATATATATATATATATATATATATATATATATATATATATATCGAAAAGTGAATATACCCTTAAGGGTATATAAGCTTAGGTACTCAAACTCACCATAATACGTTATTTTGTTTGATACATTTATTATAATGTTCTTCAACTTCAATCATTAACTTCATTTACTTTCAAGATTTTCAAATTTTCATTATTATTTTCCTCTTACATCACATCTTTTTGACGACCATCAATTAGGCTATATATATTATAGTTGAAAATGAAAATTATGTAAAACGAAAATAAATGTGAAATTTATAAAAATCTTTGAATGAAATCAAGTTAGAAGTTGAATTATAAGAACATTAGACAATTACAATGTATATATATGCTATAAAACGATGTAGTATGGTGAGTTTGGGTACCTAATCTTATATGCCCTTAAGGGTATATTATCTTTCATCATCATCATCATCATCATCATATATATATATATATATATATATATATATATATATATATATATATATATATATATATTATATATATATATATAAACTAATTCATAGCTCTAAAAATATATTAATAACAATAATAGAAAGAAAAAAAAAAATAAGACCACTATTTATATTTGTTAGTTTAACTAAAAAACCAATTTTTTTTATTATTTGTTTATTTAATAAATAAACAAATATAGAAGAGTTCACACACAGTTTGTTAAATATTTAGTTTGTTTTGATGTCATGTATCTATGTGTATGAGTGAGAGAGGAAAAAAAAAAAGTTGTATATTCTTTTAATAGAAGTTTGCTAGGAACACTCATACAAACATCTTGTAACTAGTTGCATTACCCTACATGCTATGATCAAAACGACTCACCCACTTCAGTATTGACCAGTTATTCATTTATTTAAGATAAGCAAATTATGGTTTTAATCCATTAAGTTTATCAAAATGTTTTTAACCCAACCATAGAAGTTTATTGAAGGTTAGCATGCCGCAAGAAATTGATGTTTCGGATTTTGAGACGAAATATGTATATTTATTAAAAAAAAAAAAAAAAAAAAAAAAAAGAAAAAAAAAGTTAATATGTGAATTAGCCGTCATAAAAAAATCCATTAACTTTATAGTTATGAGTTTAATTATTATTTTACATTTAAATAATATATAAAACTATTTCATAAAAGATGCATATGATTCACAATAGGTAACAACCAATAACATCTACAGGAACTCGATTTATAAGAGGATAGGTAACATGAAAGAAAGTAAAAAAAGCAAAAGAATTTAAGAAAGGGTTTAGGGCTGCAGAAGGAGACGTTTCCTCGTTTTTCAGCTGTTTATATCCTCTGACACAACTTTGATATAACAAGAGCAGCAGTCCCTTTTGTTTTTGTTTTTGTTTTTCTTTTCTTTTATATATATTCCTACTCCTACTCCTACTTTCTTTCTCTCTCTCACACCTAAAACACACAGTGAAAACACTCACGAGGCCACAACCATCGACATCTTTGGGATTGCTTTCTTTATCTCTCTCTCTCTCTCTCTAAAAGTTGTCTCTGTTTCGAGACTAGTGAGCAGGTGATGATATTCATCAAATAAGCAAAGAAAGCTGCTGCGCGCATCCAATGATTTGAAAAAGGAAGGTCAAATCAAACGACCCTTTGAATTCTTTCTTTCATTCCATAATTCCCAGCAGCTTCTTAGAGAGAGAAAGAGAGAAAACTCATATATATTAATTCAAGAAGCAATTTTCTCAACAGGTATATATCTATCTCTATCTGATTAACTAAATCAAATTCTCAACTTTCGTTTTGCTGTTGATGATGAATGATATGACTTCTCCTTTTGTGCTTCAAAAGTTCAGGCATTTCATCCACTTCATCCAATCTTTATGGATAATAAAAGAAAATTATATAAATGAAACCCCTCTCTCTCTCTCTCTAACAAGTGGATAGAGAGAGAGAGAGGGAGAGAGTTTTTCATGGCCAGTCTCTCTAACACAGAGCTCTCTCTCTCTCTCTACATATATATACACATATATAGATGTAGTTGTCTCTATATTTCATCTCTCTCTCTCTCTCTCTCTCTCTCTCTCTCTCTCTCTCTCTCTCTCTCTCTCTCTCTCCAAGTATAATTGCATGAACCTCTCTCTCTCTCTCTCTCGTAAAGTCTGCGAGTGTCACTGTAAAACTTATTCTTGTATATTAATCTCCGCCTTCAGCTGTTGGATGACGATGATGATTTTGAAGCAACACGTGCGAACTCATCATATCTCCATAACTACCCTCTCTTCAGGTACCTCCCCAATCCAATCATACTACCATTAACATCATCAACATCTCTCTCAGTACTCTCTCTCTCTCTCTCTCTCTCACACACACATCACCTGTATCAGCTATGGCAAATTCTGGATTTGTGTATTGATGATCACTTGATCATTCTTGAATTCATTTCCCAGGTTTGCTTTAATCATAGTTCGTGAGAATTCAAGCAGTTTTGTTTTACATGCAGTTGCGTATGGGTTGAAAAAACCAGGTAAAAACATATATATAACTTTTCTTCGATTTTATTTTATTTAATATTATCGACTAATCATATACACACAAGTGTCCCTTATGCGATAACAAAGAATATTTAATTTCCAGATCGAAGAAATTCAAATAAAGAAACATATATCAACATCGATGGCGACATACTACAATGGAAATTCAGAAATTCAAGGTGGAGACGGGTTACAAACACTCGTTCTAATGAATCCTGGATACGTTTATTACTCAGACGCACAACAATCACAGCCACAACCTGGTAACTTTGTGTTCCTTGATTCCAATCATCCTGGAAATAATCCGGTCAATAATCATAATCACAACCACCACCACCATCACCACATATCTCAAACGCCGCCACCACAACCACCACCAACCTCCGGTCAGACACAACAATTTGTTGGCATCCCGCTTTCTGCATCACCACCATCATCAGTTCATTCACAACATGACGTCTCTTCACTTCACGCGTTCATCCCACGAGCTCAGTACATGTATAATCCGGTGGAGATGGTGGCGGCACCACCACGTGAGGTCACACCGTTTCAACAAGGTCTGTCTTTAACCCTCTCTTCTCAGCAATCAAGGTACGGGTCTCAGGCCGCCAGAGTAACTTCTATATCTCCCACCGGCGATGATGGGAGAGCGGTTGTTGTTGTTGGTGGAGGTGGTGGTGGTGGTGGATCCACGTCATCAGCATCCGGGATTTCAAACAATGGTGTGCATAATATGTTGTTGAATTCAAAGTATCTGAAAGCAACACAAGAAATTCTTGAAGAAGTTGTGAACGTTGGTAAGGGAGTGCTCAAGAACTCCGATCAGTTAACTAAGAATCTCAAGACTCCAGTGATCGGAGATGGTGGATCATCGTCTCCAGTCACCGGAGAAGGAATTAGAGATGAGTCTGGTAGTAAATCCGGTGGTGGTGCTGAGCTTACTACAGCAGAAAGACAAGAAATTCAGATGAAAAAAGCAAAGCTTGTTAACATGCTTGATGAGGTAATAATTAATCAATTAACTAGCAACCAAACTAGTTAAATTAACCACTTCATTCTCAAATTCCATTCAAGATTTTGTACAATTCAGCTAAAAGTTTGAATTTTTTTTTGTGGGTTTTGAAGGTGGAGCAAAGATATAGACAATATCACCACCAAATGCAAATTGTAATTTCTTGGTTTGAGCAAGCAGCTGGAATTGGATCCGCTAGAACTTACACTGCACTAGCGCTACAGACGATTTCAAAGCAATTCAGGTGCTTAAAAGATGCGATTATGGGACAGATTAAGGCGGCCAGCCGGAGCTTAGGGGAGGACGACAGTTTAGGTGGTGGTGGTGGGAAGGCTGAGGGCGGTGGTTCAAGGCTAAAATTTGTAGATAATCAACTCCGGCAACAAAGAGCTTTGCAACAATTGGGAATGATCCAACACAATGCTTGGAGACCTCAAAGAGGATTACCTGAGCGTTCTGTTTCTGTTCTTCGCGCGTGGTTGTTTGAACATTTCCTCCATCCGTAAGAAATTAACCAAATCTTTTATATTACCGTTATATTTACAGTTAGTTGTATATTCAAAGTAGAATATACATTACATACAGATATATCTCAAAATTTTCAATTTGGATTTCTTAAAACATTTTTAACCGATTGCTCGGATTTGATACAGTTATCCAAAGGATTCGGACAAACATATGCTCGCAAAACAAACCGGTCTTACTAGAAGTCAGGTAAATTTTCTTTTTTGTATTTTGTATATTGTATATTGTATTGATAAAGTTATTGATTTTTTTTTTTTTTTCGAATTTAGGTTTCGAATTGGTTTATAAATGCACGAGTGAGGCTATGGAAGCCAATGGTGGAAGAAATGTATTTGGAGGAAGTGAAGGAACAAGAACAAAACGGATCAGACAACAACAAAACAAACAAAAACGAACAAAACGAAGAGAACTCATCATCCAAAAATGAAAAAAGTGTATCACCAGAAACCTCAAACAGAGGAGGAATAGGATTCCATTCCACCAAACAAGAGAATCTAAACTCCTTCAATCCTCCACCACCAATGGCGGTTCCCGCCACCGTGTCCACATCACCCACCACCACCACCACGAGAATAAATTTCCAAAACCCATCTGGTTTTAGCCTCATCGGGTCCCTAGAAATGGAAGGAATCACACAATTCAGCCCCAAAAAACCAAGAAACAACGACCGGAATCAGGATTCCGACGCCGGTTTCACACTGACAGGTGGCAATCCAACCGACTTCATGGGCGGACTCGGGGGTTACCCAATTGGTGAAATCGGGCGTTTTACAACCGATCAATTCCAACAACAGTATTCAGGAAACGGGGTTTCATTGACTTTAGGTCTCCCACACTGTGAAAACCTTTCGCACCACAGTTTCCTCCCTAACCAAAACATCCAACTAGGCAGAGGGGCAGAATTGGAAGAAAACGAATTTGGCGCCATGAATCCATCATCTTCTTCACACTCAGCCGCCATGTATGAATCCATGAACATTCAAAGCCGCAAGAGGTTTGCTGCACAACCTCTGCCCGATTTTGTTGCTTAATCAACAAAGAATCAAAATTCAAACACCATTCCCACTATCAAGAAATCAAGAAATAAAAACAAGATTTACCCTAGATCAGATCTATACTTTAATGAAGAACAAGAACCATTAGCGTTCGTTATAGATACAGATTAGGTTTTTCATTGAGGGTTGTATATTAATTTTGTATCCGCAAATATGCATAGATGGATTGGCTATATACATATTGTATGTATGTAAAAGTAAAAAAAAAAAACTAGTTATATATATATATTTTGATTGGGGGGTATACAAATTATATATATATATATATATATATATATATATATATATATATATATATATATATATATATATATATATATATATATATATATATATATATATATTTATTATTACTATTTTCAATCAAGAGTGTTGATTTGTGGGTGGGGTAGGGTGGGGGGTTACCTATGGAAAAACACATTCAAGAAACAGGACAATGGCAATAATGATAGACCAAATTTCAAAAGAGAGACCCTGTAATGTTTCCTACAAGTTTCGTGTATAAAATGGTCCAATTCATTAATATTAGGGCCAATGAGTGGTTTAAAAAGAACTTTTATTAGGTTACTTTCCCTTTCGGGTTGATGGTTGTTTGGTACTATTCAATATTAATTGATTAATGCATTCAATGTTATAAAAGTGGCCACTCCCAACTGTCACACAATTTAATTAAAATCATAACATACCTGTATTATCATGCTAGAGTTTCTCGACAAAGTGCATCATTAACTGAAAAAAAAAAAAAAAAACAAAACAAAAAAGAGAAAGGAAGAAAGACATAGTCTCTATCAAAGGGTGAGTTAGTAATTATTACTATGTAGGTTCGTAATCTGAATGTACATATTCTGTATGGAATTTTTGAATTTTGCACAAGGGTATCACATAAAGGACCCTCCAATTATTAGAGGAGAAAATATAATGACAAAAGAGTATGGCCCAATGCTATAAGTGATCGATAAAAGGATTTGAAACATATTCACTATAAAACACAAACAGTGAAAACAATGCACATCGCATTTGGACAAATACCGCATATATCTGAAAGATAGACGTTTTGGAGAAAGGCATTGAAACAAAAATGAGTGCATGTTGCTTTCTTTACTTATCATGGGAAAAAAAGGAAGATAATTAAAGTAGAATATTTTGGATATTTGATACAACAACAATACAAGGATTCAAGGTTACGTATATAAGAAAAAAAAAACAAAAAGATACAGACAATAAAGTTGAACAGATACAAAAACAGTGAAAGCAGATACTAGCAATAAGGTAGGAAGTACGATGAAATAAAGTATTTATATTTGAATTTCTCATTTGATATAAATGATAAGTTTGAATAATATACATATTAAATAGTTAACACAACAACAAAGTGATAAACATACAAACGATGACAAAATGGTAAGAGAAAATTAGAAAGATTTAGTGTTGTATAAGTTATAACATTTTTATAATACCCTTATTGCCCTTTATATGTGCAAGTCTTCTATTAGCAACTTTGGATCGATAACACCACACTTCGAATACTTCTGTAAGATCCGGATATCGAATATGTTTATTTTCTAACCATTCACTTAAAATCTCAGCTTGTTGTCCAGCTGGCAATGCGAGAATTATTGAAGAAAATGCAGATTCCAAAGATTGCCATATTTCAACATCCATTTTAACTACTAAACACTCATTTTCATTTGATAAAGAATCAAACAAAGGCTTCAAAATTCTCACAAAAGGAAGCCAAATTTTCACCATATGAAGCCGTTTTATTGTAGGTAAAATTACGTTTCCATATGCTATTGCTTCTAGAACCTTGGAAGTTACTTCGATAACTTTTACTTTTGTCTCAAGCATTTCACCTTGTTGACTTATCTGGTCAACAGCTTTGACTATATTTTCTGATACATTGACCCAATTCTCCACGAAATCTTTTAGAATTTCTAACTTGGTTAATATCTGACATGCCCATGACATGTCTACTAAAAAGCATTGAAATTGATTCATTTGTGAATCCTCTGTTTCACATGAGTTGACTAAATTGTTGAATCTGGTCAACAATTCCATGAAGTGTTGTTTGACTTTGGATTTTATGTCTTCATCGGATGTTATCAATGGAGCATCATCATCTTCTGTAAGCATGTATTCGATCTGTTCTTGAGCTGAAGTTTTCAGATCAGCCATAGACAATGGGAGTGCTGACGTGGCAAAAAGAGTGGCTGATAGGAAAAGCTTAACTATGCCAGCTGGATTGACAGGCTGGAGGCGAGCTAAAACTGGTTCTGCTAACAAACCAATGCCAGGAATAACTTTCAAAATCTCTTCCTCTTCAGCCTCTTCCCATGGAGATGCTTCTAGAAAGTCTACACAGGTGGCAACAATTTCTGGGGAGCCAAGATTCACTGCCACCTGGAGAATGCCAAGGGCATTTTTGACATTATGACATATGTCAGTAACAGAACATGTGATTGTGACATAAAAGAGGCGTAAGACTGTGATGTGGTGATCAAAGTCATGTTCTTGACAATGGACTTCAACACAATTGCGAGAATCAAGAATCTGACATGTGGGCCAGGTTTCAGATAATCGATCTGCAAAATATTTGCTGTTTTTTATAAGAATGTGGGAATGGCAGTATATCCATTCATCACGACCTTCAGGTGTTCTTAATCTTGCAATAACATCACTTGTATATCGATCACCAATCCTGTATATAAACATACTTAGAGTAAACTCGTTATTAACTGTTTAGCTTTATATCAATTTGTTCAATTTGAAAGAAAATTGGTCCATTGGTCTATCATCTCTAAAATAAACCCACAAACTTAACTTAAAGTCTGAGTAGAATAAGTATAGGGAAAGTTAGGTTATGACTTATGAGCTTCTTTCAAACCATTAGACAAACACCTTGTGTGCATCGAATACTGGATAATTATTTACTCTCTAATCGAGTAAATGTATGTTCCCACTCAACCCAATTGATAAAGTTCATTGCTTTCTCTGATCATCGGCAATAACACTTTGCGCAAGAGGGTAATTCATGATCGCAATATAGATGGAAGAGCACTCAATAAATTTAAAGCAGACCCAATTCCCGAAATCGAAACAATTCGATTTCTCTGAGCAGGGTAAGGATGTATGAAGGTTGTATGCATACAGATTCACAAGTACAGGTAATTTTATGAACCAATATACGTACTGCTGCATTCAGCTCCGTATCAAATGATTCTTTTTGTAAACTCTATTAAGAAAAATGCTAATTTGTTTATAGGGAAAGGGGTAAGGTGTGAATCGTGAAAGAGTTTACGCATTTACCTTGTATTTTCATCTTCCGTTATCCTCGGGAATGTGGACATGAGATTCTCTTCCATGGGTGAATTTTCCTGCTTTAGATTCACCAGGCAAGGAATGTTAAAGGGGACCATCATCTGGTTCGGGTTGTTCTTAACCCGTTAACACTCTTGGACCGGAATGGTTGTATGTATCTCCTTGTAGATTACAAAAATCATTAATGTTGGTATATGTGCTCTTTTGGATATGGTTGAATAATTCGAATTGTAAACCTTGGTTTCGTAGCTTGGCGGTAAAAGCGTGATTATATTATATACATTAAAAGATATAAATCATATAATTATTGAATTTTATCAAATATATGATGTTTTTAAAAGTGTTATATTAATATCTAATAGAAAAAGGTTAACAAAAACTCATTTATTTTAGGCTCGATAAAAAAACAAAACAAAAAAATCTCGCGCCTTGAAAAAAACTCACGCCATAACGCGATAAGGCGCGCCTTGACACGTTATTTGGGCGTCACGCTTCACAAACCTGCCTTGAACGTTTTCGTAACGGCTACACCACGCCTCGCGCCATAGCGCGCTTTTTAGAACCATGATCCTAATACTATTCTTAAAAAATTTATATCGTTCTATTATTCGTATTTTCTTTTATAATTTAAGAAAATACTTATACATAACATTTTTCTTCATACATAACAATTTATTTTTGTTAAAATGGTTGTACAATACAATTATTTAAAACATAAATTTTTATATATGAAGAAAAGTGTTCAGGGAGAATACTCGTCCTCGAATAGATGTTTTGTGTTTGCATAGGTAAGTTATTGAGTTTCAAAAAATTTAGCGCCATTAGAAAAATAGGCTAGTAAATCAGAGGGTCAAAGAAGTGACTGGGCCCTCTTTAGTAAGCTCCTTCATGGTGTTTGGCAAAGCGACTTGCAAGTACTGATTATTTATCTCATGTCGGAGTTCGGTTAGACATTAGGGTTGTTTGATCCTTCTGTGTACCTACAAATAAGAATCTATAAGTTGTATGTAACTTGTTTGGTGGTAATGAGACCTTTGAAAACAATTTCTATTGTGTGATGTTACTATTTTGTTTATTTGGATGGTTTTGTTTGTGTATAGATTTGCTTGATATATGGTTTGGTGACAATGTCAAGTTTGCCCTCTTCTTCCAGGAATACCCAGTGTAATACGACTCATATCAACACCTGTGATATAAATAAACTGAGTGGGTCAGGTTGGGAAACCTGGTGAGTACATAGGGATTTCAATCCCACAATGTTATATCATATATATAGTTTAAAACTCACAAAATACACAATTTCACCGTATATATAAACAACTCTTATCCCACCCCGTCGATCCTCACAACGAGACTATCCATACTCTCGGACCTAAGATTAGTCGTTTTACCTAATCCATACTCCTGGATCAGAAATGAACGACTTTACCTAATCCATACTCTCGGACTAGGGATGAATGTCTAATCCATACTCTCGAATTAATGATAAAGAATTATAACTAATCCATACTCTCGGACTAAGGACGGATGACTATGTCTTAATCCATACTCCCGGACTAAGGACAACTGACTATGTCTTAATCCATACTCCCGGACTAAGGAAAACTGACTATGTCTTAATCCATACCCTCGAATTAATGACAGTTGACTATGTCCAATTCATACTCTCGGACTAGGGACAATGAGTGTGTCTAATCTAGGGGTGAGCATTTGGATCGGTCCGGACCGAACCGGACCGGACCGGCTCTTGGACCGGACCGGTTATGGAGAATTTTGTGGACCATGGACCGGACCGGATGATTCGTGTCCGTGTCCGTGTCCGTGTCCGGGTCCAGGTCCGGGTTTTCCGGTTTTTGGACCCGTTTGGACCGGTACAACTTTAATTGCTTAGAGTATAATAAGTAATCTACATTGATGTATAATATTATAACTTGCAAAATTAATATGTTTCCGTTTCACGCCTAACTAATCTACATTGATGTATAATATTATAACTTGCAATTTGCAAAAATTAATTTTCCAAATAAAAGCAACTAACATATAAATCAAGTTCACCAACAAAAGTTAAACAATTTTTAGACAAACATACAAAAATATTACCATAACAACAAAAATCATAGTTTAAACTTTAAAATCAATCAAACTAACAAATTTCATAAACCCATAATCTAATCTTCCATTGGCCTCTTCCCCATATCATTGTCATCCATATGTAACATATTTAAAGCTTGTGCAATCTCTACATAAACACAAATGAAAATGTTGTTAGTATTTAATAAAAAGAAATAATTGTATAAAAAAAGAATAAAGATTGTAATTTTTTTTACCCACAGCTATATCATCATCGTTCAAGATGTCATCAACGTTATCAACTATCGGATTTGTAAACATTATCACCCAATCTTGGGTACATAACATAGCTTCAACTATCAATGTCGATAAACTAGTTTGATACTCACTTACAACTCTACCATAAGTGCTAAACGCGGACTCGGAATTATAGTATAAAATAATACTAAAAAGCTGAAATATTTCAGCTTTGATAGCTCTACATTGAAGGATTGTAACTCAATGAATATAATACCAAAATAAACAAAATTATATTCTAAATTCATCTACAAATTGTAAACTAAATGTTGGAAAAACCGTAGGTCAATCCAACTTAAAAACGAATGAGTTATGGTTGTTTAAAAAACATCACAGATAATAAAATATTGCTAAAAAACTGAATTTTTTCAACTTTGATAGCTCTACTTTAAAGGATTGTAACTTAGTGAATATAATACCAAAATAAACAAAATTATAGTCTAAACTCGTCTACAAACTGTAAACTAAATATTGGAAAAAATCGGAGGTCAATCCGACTTAAAACGAATGAGTTATAGGTGTTTAAAAAACGTCACAACTTACAAAATGTTGCTGAAAAGCTGAATTTTTTCAGCTTTGATAGCTCTACTTTGAAGGATTGTAACATGGTAAATATAATACCAAAATAAACAAAATTATAGTCTAAATTCATCTACAAACTGTAAACTAAATGTTGGAAAAAACCGCAAGTTAATCCGACTTAAAACGAATGAGTTATGTGTGTTTAAAAAACATCACAAAAATCTTAATCATGTCCAACCGGTTCTAAACCCGGTAAAAACCGGACCGGACCGGGAAAAAAACCGGACCGGACCGGCGAGAAATCTTAGAACCGATAACCGGCCCGGGGGTCCAAAAAACGGTCCGGTCCGGTCCGGTTCGGTCCACCGGTCCAGATGCTCACCCCTACTCTAATCCATGCTCCCGGATGAATGACATATACTAAATTTCTATTCTTTGAGTATAACTCACTTGTACTCGTAAGAAAATACTATCCAATATTCCTCATAATTAATTTAGGTCTACTCTTTATCCTAAATCATCAAATATAATCAGGTATGTTCTTTAACACGTATTTCAGGCAACATCAAATAATTCGCACATAAACATATAATTGATACTTCAATCAATACTTATATTAAAATCATGTTCATGAAAGGGAATATGCACTCACTTGAAAGGTGGTGACTCAGCACTCGGACAGCGCTTCGATACTCTCAAAACAACTTTCCTTCGATAAAACCTAGTACCAATACCACTAGGGTTTAGTCTAACGATAACCGCGACAAATTAATACTCTGACTATTATTATTATTATATAAGTGTTAAATAACACTCAATATAACTCATAATAATAGCCCAAATAATTATTTTAAGGACCTAATAACATTACTATAATTATTTGGAAGCTACATTAAAAATTGCGTAAGCGTAGCACACTTACAACGAATTTTATCGAAAACCGGAACTTACTTGGAGCAGCGTTTCGAAAACCGGAATTTTATCGAAAACCGGAATTTTATCATAATAATAGCCCAAATAATTATTTTAAAGACTCTTTTTCTCGGGACTCCGGGAGCCTCGGGGCTTCCCTCGGGAGCTAAGGGGTTTTATCTAGGGCTTAGGGGTGGTTTGGGGTCTTAGAGAAAGAAAGAAACTAGAGAGAGAAAGAGATTTGGTGTGAAAATGTGTGAAAAGCTCGGACCCTTCGCATGCCTTTTATAGGCGCCTGATCTCGGAATTACGTTGGGCGTACTCCTCGGATATGGATGCCAGCCGAAGCCAGCTTTCTCGCACTCATCTCGGAAGGATAGGGCCGAAAGTACGCTGGGCGTACCGGATTTCGTACGCGGGGGGTAATGCGAAATGAGGCAACGTGGACCTTCCGAAGCCAAGCGATTCCGAACGCGGGGCGTTCTCTTCTTGTACGTGCTGCGTAGCGAGCCAGCTGTCATCCATCCAAAGAGAGTCGTGGGTAACAAGGAACGGCCTAGATCATGCCACATCATCATTTTTGCATCAGATTTCGCAAATTTCACTCTCGACTTCTAAAAAATCATAACTTTCGCATACGAGCTCTATTTTCGATGTTCTTTATATCCACGTGAAGGTGGGAACGTACTCTATAACTTTCGTTTAGACTTCGTTGGCTAATTTTGACTCGATTTTAAATTTTATATTATTAACAGGTCGGGACCGGATTGGTCCGTTAAATTCTCATAACTTCTTCATCCGACGTCCGTTTTCGCCCATCTTTTTCTCGTTACGCTACTCTTGACGAGATCTTTGATTCTCGTTTAGGTCGTTTTGGCTAAAAACCGCTCGATCTAATATTCAAATTTCGGGTTGTACACTACTAATCCGAAACTTCGAAAAATCATAACTTCCTCATACGAAGTCAGATTTGGGCGTTCTTTTTATCAACGCTCTTAGTTTAACATATTCTACGACTTTCGTTTAGATTGCTAGGGCTAAAAAGTCCTCCATCATAAATTCACTATTTACGCTTCCCGGTGCCGTGCCGGTTCCGTCGCAAAACTTCGACGGGCCATAACTTCTTCGTTATAACTCGGATTTCGACGTTCTTTATATGTACGGAAACCTTGTGAAATATTCTACAACTTGTTTAATATTATTTATACTAAATAATCTTTTGTCGAAAAGTTGTTTTCGATACTTATTGTCTCTAAATTGACTTGCCCGGATCTACGGGCGTTACAATATATCTTGCATA